GCCCCCAGCCCCTCACTGGGGGATTCTAGGCAGGGGCTCTACCACTGTGCTATATCCCTAGCCTTTTCAGTTTTGGTTTTGAGGGAGGGGAGGGTCTTACTAACTTGCTCAGGCTGGATTTCAATCCACTCTGTTCGAAGGCAATCCTCCTGCCTCTTAGCCTCTTGAATAGTTGAGATTATAAACCTGCTTGCTAGGTCAGGGTCATCTTATATGTTCTGAATCATTCTGTGGTTTAAAACCAGCACTATGTGAATCCTCACACCATGTTGTTAGGGAATGACCAGCAAAAGAAGTCTGTGAATGTTGAGTGCAGACGAAGACTTTCTGATCTGTGATTGGTTGAGTGTACAGATGCGAGATCCCAGATCTGGAGTTCCATCTGAATTCGCATTTGAGGATTTCCCCTATTGCTTGGCATTCTCCTTTGATTCTCAAAGAGTAGACACCTCCCATTGCTCTTTCTTCTCTTAAATGGCCTGGCATGTCATGGAGCCCCTTTGGCTGGGAGTGGTCAGAGGGCAGCAGGAGTAGGATTCCTACTATATCCCCACTCCCTCAGACTTCTCAGTTCCCTGCCTGAGGCCCAGTTCCTTCCCTAGGTACCTCATGGCAGGCCTTGGATCTAGCAGTGAGGAGGAGGGGGACTCCCACAGTGAGAGCGGTGAAGACGACCCTCCCAAGCTTCCCCGAAAGGTCTGGTGCCCCAACAGGGACAAGCAGGGTATGCCGAGCTACCCCTGCTTCCCAATTCTGCCCCCTGCTGGCTGTTCACAGCCTTACACTGCCCCACCTCACCCAGCCCTCCTTCCTCAGCGGCCCCAACCCAAAGCCAAGACCCAGGCAGCAGGACCCAACTCAACCCCGAGGCCACCAACCCCAGAAGAGACCAAAGCACCATCACCAGGACCACAGGACAGTAGTGACACTGAGGGGGAACAGTCAGGTTAGAATCTGAGGGAGAGGTCTACACTCCTTATGTCTGAGGGAGAAGGGCTGTGGCCTGGACCCTTGAGTCTAAGAGAGGAGGGCTGTGGCTTTGAGCCCTGGGTTTAGGGGCAGGGCTGGTGTCTAGATTTCTGGATCTGGGGGGTGGGGAAGGGCACTGTTTGTCCTGAAAACTGGATTGAGAGAGCAGCTGAGGTCAGTTCACAGGCCCTGGCTATTCTCTTGTGTGCCATTCTGGGAGGGGAGTTACTGGATGTCCCAAGAAACAAGCCTGTTGACTGGATTGCTACTGGCAGAAGGACGGGACAATGGGGCAGAAGATTCCGGGGACACCGAGGATGAACTGAGGAGGTAGGATTGAAGCGGGTAGGTTGGCCTGGCCTTGGGTGTGGGTGTCTGCGCCCTGAGTGTTCACCCTCCACAACTCTTGATCACCCAGGGTGGCCAAGCAGAGGGAGCAGAGGCAGCCCCCAGCCCCAGGGGAGAATGGTGAGGACCCGTATGCAGGCTCCACAGATGAGAACACGGACAATGAGGCTACGTCAGAGGCTGACCTGCCGATTCCAGAGCTCCCAGGTTGGACCTCCCTGACTCTGTGACATGTCCCCTTGATCCCTGGGGTCTCTGCTATATCATACACCACCTGCTCCATTTCCTGTGACTCCCACTCCTACCCCCCAACCCCCCGCTGACAGCTTCCTGCTCTCCACTTCCTTGTGCTGGCAAGCACCCATGAGACCTTGCGGTGACCTTCCCAGTTTAAGCAACCTCATGTGCTGACCAGTGATTCAGGACTCCCCATCTCACCCCTAAACCCAGCTCATCAGCCCTGCTGCCCCTGGACACCTGAGTGCTGGACACATTGTATGTTTGCACTCGTTACTGATAACATTAGGCCAACCCTGTGTGTGTGCGCGATATTGACCATGATTCTTTCCTGTTTTGTTTTTATGAGACAGGTCACAGATAACCCAGGCTAGTCTTAAACTTGTGGCTTTCCTTCTGCCTCAGCCTCCCAGGTTCTTAGATTACACGTGTGCCGACACATCCTGCCTACCAGAGAGCTCCTAAGCTATTAAAGCAGCAAGACAGGGGCTGTGGAGTGTGGCTGAGCCTCCTGGGTGGAGGAGAGCCGGCTATGGGGGCTCTTGCCTATAATCCCAGTACTCGGGAGGTCAAGGCAGAAGGATCACAAGTTCAAGGCCAGGCTACTGAGTAAGACCCTTTAAAAAAAAAAAAAGAATGGAGGGTCAGGAGAGCAGGAGAGCAGGAGAGAAAGAGCAGTGGCGGTCAGGCAGTGAGGGTCAGGGTCACTGCAGGGGCTGGTTCTCAGGCTTGCGGGCAATGTCAGGAAAGTATTGTGAACCCCCAAATGAGGGGATGAATCAGTGACCTGGGACCTCATGTGGAAATGGGAAGAAAACCAACTCAGAGGCCAGTGTGGGAGCCAGCTGAGGTGGTGGCTGCCCTAGGCCAGCCTGGGCCAAGACCGCAAGAGACCCGTGACTGTGTGTTTTAGCTACTGCTTGCACTAGGCAGAGGCATGCAGGAGCCTCCTGGTGGCTTCATGGGTGCTAGACTAGAATTTATTAGTCACGGCCCCTCCCTGAGCTCCGTATCCTTGGCCACGGTGCCTCTCCCTCCCTCTTTGCTTGTAAGCACTCAGGAGCCTGGTCAGTACCTCATGTTTTACCTTCTCCCATCTCTCCCACAGACTTCTTTGAGGGCAAACACTTCTTCCTGTATGGCGAGTTCCCTGGGGATGAGAGGAGGAAGCTCATCCGATATGTGACAGCTTTCAATGGGTCGGTTGTGGGATTGGATGGGTATGGGCTGGCAACACAGCAGAGGGTATGGGCTGTGGGAAGACGGTGTCAGTGTGCCCAGCGGCATGAGCATAGCTGCAGAGTCCAGCACAGCCCTGTCCACTGTGCTTGTAGCCCTGGAGGGCGGCCCTTCTCCCACCCCCCATGAGGGTCAGCACTGGGCATTGCTGGTTTGATTTGTCAAGGCTGCTGTGTGGAAGGCACAGGTCTCATAGGCAGGGGCCAGAGGTCAAGCTAAAAGCCAGGCTCACAAACAAACACAACAGACAAGCCAGAAAGAGGAAGGAAAGAGCTGGAGAGAAGGCTGCTCTTCCAGAGATTGTAAGTTCAGTTCCCAGCAACCACATGGTGGCTCAGGACCATCTATAAAGGAATCTGATGCCCTCTACTGGCATGTGGGTGTACATGCAGACAGATATTTAAACAGATACGTGAGGTGGAAATAAAAAATTTTTTAAAAAGAAGAGACGGGCTGGAGAGATGTCTCAGTGGTTGAGCACTGGCTACTCTTCTAGAGGTTCTGAGTTCAATTCCCAGCAACCACTTGGTGGCTCACAACCATCTGTAATGGGATCCGATGCCCTCTTGTGGCTTGCAGGCATATATGCAGGCAGAACACTGTGTACATAATAAATAAATCTGGGTGGGTGGGAGGTGGTGAATTTGTCCGGAAAGAGGACGGTGTGTACAGCAATGGCGAGCCTGTGGTACGGGCACTGCGTCATGGTGTGCCTCCTCAAGCTATTACAGGAAGATGTTCACACAGATCTCAGCAGGAGGTGCTTTAGTAGACAGCGTGACCCACCTGAGCACGTGGGCAGGCTGCTCACACTTGCCCCACCTCTTCCTTCCCACCAGGGAGCTTGAGGACTACATGAGTGAACGGGTCCAGTTTGTCATCACGGCCCAGGAGTGGGATCCCAATTTTGAGGAGGTGAGCCCAGAGGGGCAGAGGTGGAGATCCCCAACCCACATTTTCATTCCCTCTGTCCTCTAATTGTATTCCCTTTTCCCCTAGGCCCTGATGGAAAACCCTTCCCTGGCCTTCGTCCGGCCCCGGTGGATCTACAGTTGTAATGAGAAGCAGAAGTTACTCCCTCACCAGCTCTACGGGGTGGTGCCCCAGGCCTGAATATACACCTGTGTACATGCACACACGTGCACATGTATGCACAGGCTTGAGTCCACACATGTGCACACAGATGAGTTTAATAAAGGAGACTTTGTGTGAAGCAGTTGTTTCTCTCTGAGGAGACTCTAGGTTCCTGTGCTGGCCTAGGCTGCCCCATGTCCTTGCCCCAGGGTCTGAGACGAGGAGAGTGAGGCCCTCTACCAGAGATCTGCTAAGAAGTAGCTCCCCTCACCCCCCCCGACTCTGTTGTGCTGACAGGAACCAGGGAGTTGGAACTGTGCTACTTAACGCTGTCCCCCAAACACATCTGATCCATCATGTCACATGTCTCTGGTCAGTGAGCTGGAGGCATCAGTGCTTGTCACCTGTGCTGGACTAACCAGGCTCCTTCCCTGGTGTCACTAGCATCGCCAGTGTGGTTTACATCCAACCTGGGAGGCAGGGTTGGTGGGAGGAAGGTTGTTCTTATGAAGTTGCCCAAATCCTGGAGTCCCAAGTCTAAGCTGGGAAAAGAGGAGAGCTGTTAGGGGACCAAAGCAGAAGGGGATGGAGTCGGCTGGGGGGTAGGGAGGGGATGGCAAAAGCCACATGGAGTAGCCTGGGGCTACTCGGAAGGGGTTCTGGAGCAGGTTTGGCTGGAAAGTGAGCACAGGTCTCAGGTGCTGTCCATTTGTGGCCGTTGTGGCCACCAGTCAGGTGCCACTTAATATAAGGAATGAAGACATATGGCTTGGTTCTTAAAGGTGGAAACAGGAGGATCACTAAGCATTTGAGGCCCGCTTGGAGTGCATTGGGAGACCTTTCCTAATGAAAGCTGGACTCGGGAGGCAGAGATGGATGCAGGCACAGAGGCCAACTTAGGTCCCCAGTCCTAGTCCCACATTTCAGAACACTCCGCCTCTGGGAAAGTTCTCTGGATGCCCTGGAGGGCTATGAACTCTAGGCTGAGGGGTTTGGACTTGGTTCTGGGGTGAGACCAGAAGGGGCTTTAGACAGGGCAAAGGTCAGGGTCAGTCAGAGTAAGACCTGAACCTCGGGTAACCTCCTCTTGGATATTTCCTAACTAGCCAAGGGTTACTGATCGCCCCATCCCCCACCTCCCCGACTGTCATGACTGTTCACACTGGCTGTTTCTGGGCTTTGTGTGCTCAGTCAGTGAGTGGGTCGGTAACTTGTCCATTCCACTGCACTGACCTTTCTCCCAGTCACTCTCCCGACACTGCAGCCAGATACCACAAACTTAGCCCAGACAAGGTCCTGATGTTCTCCAGAAGGTCTGGCCAGCTAAGATCTGGATGGGTACCTAAGACTGGTGTAACAGGAGCTGGCTCCTGGGACCAATCTGCTGCTTTTCCAGCTTCTAGGGGCTGCCCACAGTCCCTCCATTTAAGGGCAGCTATGGCTGGCTGTGTCTGACCACATTACATTGCTGTGCCCTTGACCTGCCACATGCCTGTCATCAAGGTACTTGGGAGATAGAAGCAAGACAACCTGGAGTTTAAATTTGGATGGGGCTACGCTGGAGGGTTGTGATAGCACCCTTGTCTATATAGCAAGTTTGAAGCCAGCTTAGATGGCATGAGACTCTCTCAGTGAACCTAAAAAAAAAAAAAAAAGCCCCCTGGTGACATGATCCCCACTGGGGCTAATTATTACTTTTTGTGACTGTACTGGGAATTTAATCCAAGCCTTTGGCACATGCAACCACTCCACCTGTGAGCTGAGTCCCCAGCCCTGCACGGGTCTATGTAACAATCACGGATCCGAAATCTTCAGTTCCTCCTACCTCGTTCTCCCTCACCACATGTCATCCCCACACTCCCAGGATCATGAAATGACTGTCCTTAGCCTCTGTTCTGTGTGCCATGTTCCCCATCTGTGAGATGTTGGAGATGCTGAGTGAAGACTTGTCCCTGATTTCATGAGGCTTATGTGCTTGGTGACACGGGGAGTAGCTGTGCAGTGCAGCATCGGGCGGTGGCAGCGCGGTGTGGCACTTTGAACAGGACAGAGTGACAGCAGTGGGGCAGGATGGGGTCGTTTAGACAGTGTTATAAGGGAAAGACCTCTCAGGAGTTGCAGCCCTTGCAGGACCTGGGACAGGCAGGAGCGCCTGGGAGAGCCTGGTAGGTAAAGAGCAGGTAGGAGGGAGAGCATCAGGCTGTCTAGAGACCCACTTCCACTCACGCAGTCACTGTCCCGTTGGTCGTGGGTTAAGTCCTTTCAGATTCATTTTCCCTGTCCGCACAAGGTAAGATTGACCAGACCAATACCTTTGGTTTCTTTGTTTTTGAGACCTGTTGCAGTAGGGCAATGAATGCCATTCAAGTTGACCTAGTGGCAGAGGTAGTGTTCCTAGCTACCTGCCCCAGTGTTCTGGGTTCCTGAATGAAAGACAGACAGATCACACACACACACACACACACACACACACACACACACACACACAGCCTTAATCAGCTCAAAGGTTGGGTCACTCCCAAACCTTCACGTGGCTAACATGCTCTCCCCTCCGATATTGCTGAATAATTACTTCTAAAACCTATATTCCATCCTGGCTGCTCCGAACCCAGGCTTACAGCCCTCCTGGGCTACGATCTCTGATCTCTGACTCTTACATGATAGCAGTCTCTCTGTCCTACCCTTCCCAGACCTGGTCTTTCTCCTTTCCCGGAATGGCAGTTCTAAATCCTCCTTCCCTTGGTTCCTGGAACTTTCTATGCAGACCAGACTGGCCTTGAAACTTTGCAGTCCTTCTGCCTCTGCCTCTTGAGTGCTGGAACTACAGGTGTGTGATACCACTCCCAGCTTGGTTTGTCGTTTATTACGTTTATTTAGTGTGTGTATGGGGTACACCTGTCAAAAAACTCCCTACTCTTGGGAGGCAGAAGCAAGCAGGTCTCTGTGAAATTGAAGGCAGCCTGGTCTAATTAGTGAATTCCAAAGCTACATAGTGAAACCCTGTCTTTAAAAAAAAAGGAAAGAGAAACAGACAGCCAAAAGGGGGGAAAAGGTGTATGTATTGGGCCTTAACAGATGGCTCTGTGATTAAGAGCACTTGTTGCTTGTGCAGAGAGGCTGGGTTCTGGTCCTAGGACCCACATGGAGGCTCACAACTATCCCTAATATTCCAGGGGATCTGACCACACACACACACACACACACACACACACACACACACACACTACAGGCACCAGGCACAAATGTGGTGCATATACATAAATGCAGAGAAAACACTCAGATACACGTAAATTAAAGAAGGGAAGAAAACAACCGGAAAATGTGTGTGCCTGCGTATGTAACGCTTTTCTAGCATGCACAAAGCCCTCAGAACCCGGGGAGCTCAAAGGCAGTCTGGAGACAGGAGATCCTGCCCAAGCAAACCTCCCACAAACCCAAAGTGCTTTCAGAGAATGCACCCGAGTCCTCAGGACTCAAGCCTGGTCCAAGGTTCCCAAGAGATTCAGAGGCACTCCAGTCTTGAGCTCTCCAGTCTTTGTTCTGCCTGTCCCCTCCCATGGCCACCTCCCATGCTTACACAGCTCCACATACACACAACGCTGGCCTCCTTCCTACGGCCACACATTCCTCTCTGTTTACTAGCCCCTGGCGGTGGGCATGTGCTGGGGTGTACTCAGTGGGGCCACACCACAGTGCTGTGGTGGACATCCCTATGTCCTTATCACAGGCTTGAGTGTGGCGAGCCAGTGTCACCACAACCCCCACAACTCCAGGCCCAAGGTTTGACCCCAGCGCCAATCTGATGATACCTGCCTCTGTGCATGGACAGAATGCCTCAGCCTTCTAAGTCAGATTCCAGTAGAGCCAATAATCCCAAGCCACCCCGGGTACATAACTAGAACCCAGGATTTGGAAGGCTGCCAGGAGAAGACAAATTCCAGGCCAGCTTGGGCTTACGTGTCATTCTTCCGTTAGAGGGAAGTCCACACATACAGCAGGGCTTAGAAATTCCAGGTCTTTATTGACAGGTGATGGAGGCAGAGTGTGCCCGCGAGCTCACTCCCTCTCTCCCTGGCCCTCCGACTGGTGGTGGCTGCGTTGGTGAACCAGCAGGAGGCGTCTTTGGCCAAAGGCCTTGTTGCAGCTGGAGCATCGATGGTGGCTAGTGGCCTGGCTGCTGGGCGCGGTGGGGGGATCGTGGCACAGACGATGGGCCGCCAGTTTGGAGGGAAACGAGAACGCTTTGGGGCAGTGTGGGCAAGGGTAGGGGCGGGCGTCGGTGGCGTGGTGCGTGTGGCGGTGGGCCGCCAACTTGGACGGGTAGCAGAAGGACTTGGGACAATCGGGGCACGGGTAGGGACGGGAGGGAGCGTGGGTCCAGAGATGCGCCGCCAGCTTGGAGCGGTGGCCGAAGGCCTTGGGGCAGTGCGGGCAGGAGTGCGGGCGAGCTCCGCTGTGCGTGAGGCGGTGCGCAGCCAGCTTGGACGGGTAGGAGAAAGCCTTGGGACAGTCGGGACATGGGTGCGGGCGGGTGCCGCCGTGTGCTAGCCGGTGCGTGGCCAGCTTGGATGGGTAGGAGAAAGCCTTGGGGCAGTCCGGGCAGCGGTGCGGGCGCTGGGGAGGGGGTCGCCGACGGGGCCGGGAGGGCACGCTCCCAGATGCAGCGGGCTGGCTGGGCCTCGGCAGGTCCTGGTGGGGGACTAGGGGACAGGAGAACTGGTGGGCTTCTGGAAACAGGCACACCCTGGGTCCAGGCCAGGCTCCACCTCCCCTCAACACTGTATAAAACAGAGCCTCACTATGTAACCTTGGCCGGCCTGAAACACTCTCTGTACACCAATTGGCCCCAAACTCACAGGGATTCCCCCTGCCTCTGCCTCCTGAGTGCTGGGACTAAAGGTGTGCGTCACCACGCTGGGCCCTGCCATTTCTTTTCTTTTTTCTTTTTTTCTTATTTGTTTGTTTTTCGAGACAGGGTTTCTCTGTGTAGCCCTGGCTGTCCTGGAACTCACTCTGTAGACCAGGCTGGCCTCGAACTCAGAAATCTGCCTGCCTCTGCCTCCCAAGTGCTGGGATTAAAGGCGTGCGCCACCACCGCCCGGCGGCCCTGCCATCTCTTAATACTAGAGGGGTATCTCA